TTTAGCCAAAGTAACAATAAGACAGAGGAAAGTTTTCTTATCATTTAGGAAAATATTTCTGTTGAAGAATGAACTCACATGTCTCAATGCACATTTTACATTGGCATGAATAAGGCTATGTTCACACTGCAGGTGAAAGCGCATCAAATCCGACTTTTTTGACCCTCTGTGACCCATATCATGGTGTGACAGTGTGAACAGCACAAATCCGATATTTTCAAATCCGATCTGGGTCACTACATATCTGATGTTTTAGAAAGCGACTGCTGTTTGATGGTCACGTCGCATTAAATCCGTCTTTTACGTCTGGCCCTCCAGTGAAACTGTTGGGAAGACAACGTTTCACTGGTGAACATTTTATTTGTTCTGTATAATCTGCAGATTCTGACAGAAATCTGCAGCTATCCTTTGAAGCACCGCTCCTCTAAAACAGCAATAAGGATCATTATTAGATTATCTACATTATTATGTAAATAACAAAATAACTTAAAGCAAAAATTGGGAAACGTAAAGTCCGAAGTCTTTATATTAACGTCCATCAGTCAAACATACTGTTGCTCTGGGTCTAAACAGAGCGCGTTGTGTGTGACGTCTTCTTTTGCGCATGCGGCCGCTTTGAGCGTTCACACTAGAGCGCGTTTGCTGTCACATTTTATTTGTAGTGTGAACGAGCAGACAAAAACATCGGATTTGATCAAAAAATCGGAATTGAGCATTAAGACCTGCAGAGTGAATGTAGCCTAAGACAATGAAAGAAGGAAATATGACCTACACTGGCACTTCTCATTGAACCTTTAACCAACACAAATGAATTACAGTTTGTACCTGGATGCTTATGGGAGACCGCTGAATCTGCTAATGCTTGTTCTTCCAGTTTGGGGTCACAGCCTTTAACACTTATACTGTTTAACCTGCTTCCCATGGCTCCATCAGACCTCGGTACCTGTAGATCTCCTACATATGTGTTTCTGGCTTTTAAATAACTTTGTCTTCAGTCCTGATTGAAGGCGCATCATACATGTGGTATTTGTTCAAAGTGGCATGGGGATGTTCCTGGTAGGGATGCTGCAGGTCACTGATGCATGTTCACTGGAACACTTGGTGCACTGTAGATGGCTTTGAAGTTGACTTGTGATGTTTTCCCCACCAACACTGGATTCAAGCACTCCTGCAGCCATGTGTGTGCCACTGTGTCACTGACTTGGAGCTTGGCTGCTGTGAGTGGGCTGTAGCTCAGCAGGTGGAGGTGATCCAGTCCTGGCTGCTCCGGTCTGGGTATCCTTGAGCAAGAACCCCAAGCTGCTCTGTGATGCAGAAGGACCGACACGGCTCTGAATGCTCACTTTCAGCTTTTTTACTTATTCACACAGCCGTGCTGTCAGCTCTCACTGCTCCAGCTCTCTGCCGCTCAGACCTCCTCTCACATCCAGCCGCTGCTGAAGCAGGGAAGGCACGATTAGATGATGTTTGCCCTCCCTGACACCACACCCCGAACCCGCTGCTTCGAGCCACCAACCACACCCCCCAACAGTGAATATTACATGGAAGCTCCTGGGTGTATAAAGAAGTGCGAGGCCACACAACTCCTATAGAAAAGGATGAAAATGGTAAAATTGTGCTTTAACTTAGATTGCATTTAAATGTCAAATATATAAGTAGACTTTTTGTGTATTAGCAATATTAATTTGAAATATCTTCTACAAGACAGAACCAAGACTTGTTTATACACACAAAGCCTCCCTGTGTGTGTGTCTGCACTGAGCTTGTCATAGTCAGCCGGGTGTACCTGCAGTGTCACAAGCTTTGTGTAGGGTCTGATTGAATTGGGCACAAAGGCAGATTTACATATGTTTGCAACTGTTACAGGGGTTAGTGAATATCATGTAGCAGATCTACGGGGAGCTGGCAGCCAGTGGACTTGCATCACACTCTGAATCCTAAACAGTCTCCTCTCTGCACTGGACTCACTGCTCTATTCTCCTCTGAATGAACACGGCTTCTGTCTTGTTTGCTCTGGCTGTGCCTCTCTCCTGCCGACGTTTTTGTTCTGTAACTATCGTCGCACGCACACTCATTGACACACATACGGCTCGGGTCGTGGAGTATCCCCGCACGGCCGGTGAGGGACTGGGAGTGTCGGGCAATCTCTGCTCAGCCGAGTGTTAAATTAGATTCTGTTGCTTCTGTGTGTGTGTGTGTGTGTGTGTGTGTGTGTGTGTGTGTGTGTGTGTGTGTGTGTGTGTGTGTGAGAGAGAGACACACTCGTTCATAACTCACTTACAGGGACTGGGTCACTGTCACACACATCAGGAAAATGATCAGTAGTGTAAAGTCGTGCAGCTTTCCTCACGATGATGCTGATGCAGAGTCGTCCTGATCTCTTCTTCTTTCCTTAAACCCGTCTTGTCATCAGACAGAGGTGTTTCCTGATGATGTCACTGAGCCTACTTTATTCAACATAACAGATAAGAAGATATTTCCATGTAATGCTGATACTAAATAATTATGTTATTGGCTCCCTTGATCATAGTTACACTGTTATCAGTATATCAGTATCACTGTTACATGTGTGACTTGATGTGTGTCACTGGCGCTTCACGTGTTTTTGTTATATTTCTGCAGCACATTTTTAAAACAGACTCATAAGGTGTTAAACAAAAAAGCAACATTAAAAAAAAAGCTCCAACAGAATTCAAATATTTAAAAAATTCAATGAAAACACAATTTTGTCTTAACTAGCAAAAAACAGCCAAACAATGCAAACAGGTTTGAAAAAAGATTTAACACAGGAGCCTTCAAAGGGCCATTTTGACTATAAATACTGTAAATCTGTTGAAAATACCCTCAGCTCATATTTTATGACCTAAAAAACTGAAGAAGGAGTTTGTTCATAAACAAGCAGCATGACTGCACGCTGGTTAGCAAAGTGAAGCCATCCGGGGTTGGACTCCTCCACCTGTCTGGAGTTTGTGTTTCTTCCACATGAGCTTCCTCCCTGCAGCTACTCGGGGTAACTGCTGTTTTAAATCATGTGAAGGGCTCTCTGTCTCTCTATGCTCGTCCGGGCGACCTGTCCAGGGTGTAGCTGACTTCTCACCCCACCGCTCGCTGGCTGACCTGAGCAGCCCTGACTGTGAAGAATAATCTAAGAAAATAAAGAGTGAAATGTGCAGACTGAAGAGGAGGCGTGTGGATAGCTCTGATGAAGAAGAGTCAGGTTTAGTTTCAAAATTTTATTATTGTAAAATCTATCGTACAATATAAAGCACCTTGAGGCAACTGTTGTTGTGATTTGGTGTAAATAAAACTGAAACTGAATCGAACTGAAAATTCTCTGGACTCTACATGTCCTCACTTCTTACAGACAGCAACAAGTTTATGTATAAATCTTGACCAGAGAACCTTAAAATTGGATTTTTTAATTAATTGCATCTTTAATCATTTCCAACAGCTATAGAAACTGTCACGAGATTTATTCTAAAAGAAACTTCTTCAGCTGAGAGTCAGAGAGTAGAAACACACATGCTGCAGTTTTTACTTGCAAGGGCGCTCACACCAGAGTGGCGGCCCTGTGACGTGCGCGCTATGTTCTTGCACTTGTCTTTATTTATACACAAGAAGAGTAATACAACAATGAATACATTTGTTTAGTGGAATGTTGATACGTGAGCATGTGCATATGTGGTTGTGTATGTGTGTGCGTGTGCGGTTTGTAGGGGGTGAAACTGCTCGTTCAGCTCTTACTATCACTGTGGGAAGAAACTGATCTGAAAAGAACAGAACAAGTTTCGTGGTGAACAACAGCCTAAGTCATCAAAAGGTTATTATGCAGTATTCTATCAAACTTATATCATTAAAAAGCTTATACTGACTACTAAATACAATTTTATATTGACAGGAATGCTTACAATCATCATATTTCCAATTTTCCACCTGTGTTTGAATGAAACATTTGTACTTTGTACAGGGTGGGCCATTTATATGGATACACGTAATAACAGGGGAATGGTTGGTGATATGAGGGTGGCTGTAGCTCAGGTGGCAGAGCAGGTCAGCCACTAATCAGAAGGTCGGTGGTTTGATCCCAGGCTCCCCCCTGGCTGCATGCAAAATGTCCTTGGTCAAGATACTAACCCCATGTTTGCCTACTGGTGGTGGCGCCAGTGTCCGGCAGCCTCACCTCTGTCAGTGTGCCCCAGGGCGGCTGTGACTACAATGTAGCTGCCATCACCGGTGGATGACTGAATGTAGTGTGAAGCGCTTTGGGGTCCTTAGGGACTAGAAAAGCGCTTTACAAATGCAGCCCATTTACCATTGAAGTCCTGTTTGTGGCACATTAGTATATGTGAGGGGGCAAACTCCTCAAGATGGGTGGTGACCATGGTGGCCATTTAGAAGTCAGCCATCTTGGATACAACTGTTTTTTCAATAGGAAGAGGGCCACGTGACACATCAGACTTATTGGTAATGTCACAAGAAAAACAATGGTGTGCTTGGTTCCAACGTAACTTTAAATAAATAAATAAATAAATAAATAAATGGGCTTTTTTGGTTTGTTTGTTTGTTTTTTGTTTCTTGTTCACAAAATTGTAAAAACAAGAACAAAAAAGAAGACTGCATTCATCAGATCCTGTACAACGTTTAAAAAATAATTAGCACCAATTTCACTTATTTACACAGATTTTTAGTCATATACTGTAACATAGATTGTAAACTTTCAGGTGGACTCTGTAGTGCATCGGTGTCAAACTCTGGCCCGTGGGCCAAATTTGGCCCGCAGCCTAATTACATTTGGCCCGCTAAGCCATACCAAATTCCTATTAGAGCTGGCCTACTGGTATTATACAGCTAATATATATATTGTTTAGTATTAAGCTTTGCTTGTTCCATATTCAGTTTTTCAGCAAAACGTGTTTGAGTCCATAAGAAAAGATTCATTCTTATATCTGGAGGAATAAATATATTTCAATAAATATTAAGGTTAGCCCGCGACTTTGTTCCAGTTTTGAATTTTGGCCCACTGTGTATTTGAGTTTGACACCCCTGCTGTAGTGCATAAAATTTAGGTGGATTCTTCAAACAAATCAATAATAAATATTTTTAATAAAAGTAAATAATTTTGTAATTCTTTATGCCACAGTCGACGCAGCTATTACCAAAATCAAAGACAACAATCATGATACAGTGTTGATGCAGGGACAGTAAATGAAACACACACACACACACACTCTGAGCCATTTCTAAACTGTTATTTTAACATTAATGTTTGTAAACCCTTCATGCATTTAAAATCATGTTTATTTAAATTTGCTGTAAAATGTAACCAGACAGTGAGAGAGGGAGAAATATGTGAATGATGCAGAGACAGATGAATGGATGAAGGAAAAGAGCGACGGATGTATGATTGCACTGATAAGAGGAATCATTTACCAGGGCAATTTGTCGACAAGGATCTGGGGATGTGTCAGTGCGTCAGCGCCTTGGTCGCTTTGATGGATGATGGAAGTTCACTGACTCAAGCAGCCTTTCTCTCTCCCTTTGCCTCACCCTTTGCTTCTCCCTCAGACTACGTCCCTACTCCTCCATTATTACGGCAGCACAGCAAAGTGTGTGTGTGTGTGTGTGTGTGTGCATCACTCGTGTTGTGAGCTACTGTCAAATAGGCCCCACCTCTTTATTAGAAACTGTATTTTGTGTGGCACAATGTGTGGAACAAGGGAAAATACTTTGACACAGTACTGACCTTAAATTAAAGCTGCTGTTACTGGTTTAGGGATCGATGGTAACGGTTAAGGTTTAGACAAGTAGTCGTTACAGTTGTTTAGGGTTAAAAGTAAAACACATAACCAACAATATCCAAGGTCTTTCTTTCATTACTATATAACTGCAGGCTAAAATTTAAAGGTGAAAAGAAGTGTGTGTGCAGATTTAACCTCAACATAAGAAAAGGGAGGAAAAAATCGCATGTCTCCAAATAGAAGAAGCAAACTCAAATCTATTGTAATGGTAACCTGATGCCTTTGCAGCAGTTTTTATCTTCATCTGTGTATGAAAAGAATCAAAGGAAACTCTGAAACCAAACACAGGCATCTTCCAGTATGATGCCTGTGTCTGGTTTTGCCGCTGCCACCTGCAGTTTGTCCTGCAGTGTCATAGTCCTGTTTTCACTCTGTGTAAATAACGTTTTGACTGCCTTGGTTTCTGATCACCTGACACTCTTATCTGTCCGATTTTGATGGGTCAGCGTTTTCTACCCTGTATTGCTGGTGCTCCTCGTCTCCTTGGGCGTCCTCAGCTGTGTCCTCCTGGGTGTGCACAGACCAGGGAGCAGAAGAAGGAGAAGAGCAGGTGTCAGGTGAAGCTCAGCTTGTTGCGGAAGTGGGGTCTCGCTGGTAAGCCATGCTGAGTGTTTCTGATTTCCTGTGCTCAGACAGCTTCCATGGAGGGGATGTTTTCTGCCAAACCCCTTCTTGGACATGCGAGGCCTGATTCTCTGAGACCGTGCTACCTCACGAGGGTCCACCCAGTTTCCCAGTGTTTGGCCCTCCACCAGGATTTAGGTCCTGAAGCTGGAGGATCTTCCCCCTCGCTTAGCATGGTGGTGTTTTATCTAAGGCTAATAAATTATTATTGCTGAACGATTTTATACTTTCCAAATATTAATTTTTTATTTCTTACTGAAATCTGAGCTGTGAGGCAGACTATTCATCCCTCATTGAACTTTGCCCGGATGGTTATTCCTTCATCACATGTGTGGTCATGGAGGAGGCCTCGCTGTGGTGTTTCGGGGCCAGGTCTCCTTTTTTTACCTTTGAACAGTGAACTACAATTCACACAAGGGTTCCCAGAAGGATTTAACAGAATGGAGCAGTTGATGTTTGTCTCCTCCTTTGTTTAATGTCTAAATAGATTTTTCTTATCAAAGCTATTTTTTGATTGTGTAACAGGATGTATATGGTGATACCATAGTGAACCATCTGATGTATGCAGATGATTTAGTGATCTTCTCTCCATACAGTGCCGGCCTTAAACAGTTACTGAGGGTCTGCTCTCGATATGTTTTAGAGTTTGAAGAGTAATATTTTGATTGCCAGAAGTAGGGAAGACTTGTGTCTGTGTGGTACGGTTCTCAAAGTTATGAAATCTTAGGACATTATATATCTGATGATCTGTCTAATGATATGGACTCTTATAGACAATGCCACTTACTGTATGCACAGAGTAACATGCTGAGTCGTAAATGTGGTATGAGCCCCGCTCCACATGCAGACTGGGCTACACTGAATATCTGTGGAGAAGGCAGCATGTGGAGAGCCTTCATGTATATTTGTGATATTTTGGATTTTATTTCATTTGTTTTTCTCCTTCGTCTCTTGCTTTATTGAAGACATCTTTAATGCAGCTTTAATAAAGTGAACTAACTAAATGGTAAATTGACTGGTTCTTATATAGCGCTTTTCTATCCAGAGCAATCAAAGCACTTTACACAACTTGCATTATTCACCCATTACATGATTTTCAATCATATATCTCTTTTAACCCCCAATATGCTTCTCAGCTTCCTGAATAGGTGACTGGACTCATTAAAATTTGGATCGCTGACAGCTTTCTCTGAATGAAGATTAAACAGAAGTACGTCTGTGTGCCTCAGACAGATTTGTGTAGTATGAGTCCCCTCAGGTTGTTTGTTGAGTCGTCTGTCAGGAATCTCGGGGTAACTCTCAACTCTGCGTTCACTATGGATCAAATCTCTGGTTCACTGTTGTCTTATCATCTAAGTTAACTACCATTGTGTCGTGCTCTGAACTGAACATGCTCTGAATCATTATTCATGCACTTCTTTCATCACATCATTGTTTACTCGTGTAACCAAAACTGCCGAGAACATCTGTAGGTTGACCACACCGCTGCTGCGAGGCTTCTGACCAAATCAGTGGTCAAATGTCAGTGTTGAAGAAAATACACTACTGTTCAAAGGTTTTAGAACAGCCCAGTTTTTCCAGTTATTTATCGCAATTCAAGTCGTTCAAGTCTGATGAACAGCTTGAAATGGTACAAAGGTAAGTGGTGAACTGCCAGAGGTTAAAAAAGAAGTAAGTTTGCCCAAAACTGAAACATAATGTACATTTCAGAATTACACAAAAAGGCCTTTTTCAGGGACAACATGGGTTAACAATTTAATCTGTTCTGCAGCAATGGAGGTTGCTCAAGCCTTGAAAGCTGGTGCTACTAATTCCTACAGGTGTTCCAACTTTTCTGGATTAATTGCAGCCCCATCTGTCTGCATAAAGCAGTGTTGAACACACTGTGGTACCAGACTCTCGTCAGCATCAGCTGAGCAGTATCGTACTGCAGAAAGTAGTGTTGTTGCAGAAATGGTGAGAAAAAGGCAATTAACAATGGAAGAGAGACCGACCATCATAACACTTATAAATGTGGGTCTGTCCTACAGAGAGACTGCAAAGAAAGTCAAGGTGTCAGTGAGGCCAGTTTCCTTCTGCACTCAGAAACAAACTGTGACAGGAAGAGGTCTGCAAGCCTGAAACTGAATCAGAGGACAAGTTTCTGAGAGTTAACAGCTTGTGTGATGGCGGCTCACAGGACAACAGCTTCAAGCAGCTCAGTCGTGGTCGTAGTGAGAAAGTCTCAGTTTCAGCTGTGAAGAGAAGGCTTCAAGCTGCAGGTTTGACAGTATGAGATGCAGCAAGAAAGCTCGATGTCAGAATAAGACGAAGAGGCTTGGCCCTAGTCGTGGCACAATTTTGTACATACCAGACCAACTGACATGGATTGCCTGAGTTTAAGAATTTGATTGGACAGTTTAACATCACACATCGTCACAACACTAATAAACTGAAAATAAACTGGCATTTCTACAGCGCTTGTCTAATCTTAGTCAAAGTGCTTTAGATAACCTGTACATTCATCGAGCACATCGTCCTCTGGACTTGAGGACACTTCAAGGCTCCTGTACAAATTTTTTGACCATTGTTGACACTTTGGATACCTTTCAATGACGCCACCATGACTCAAAAATGAGTATGTTAAAAAACATCCACTCTTAATAATGTCTTTTCTGCCCTTATCCACACAGGGTAACCAAGAGGCCCCGGCTCCCCCTGAAGCTATGGCTCAACCTTTCCCACAAGCCCAGTATCCACCTCCTTCACAGAACGGGATTCCTGCTGAGTATGCTACACCCCACACCCACCCACCGGCTGACTACACGGGAACAAGCACAGTGGGCGAGCATACCCTAACACTATACACGGCGACACACACACAGAGTGAGCAGCCAGGAAACGACAGCAGCACTCCAGCTCTTACTACTAACACAGTATCGGTGAGTCTGTATTCACACATTCCTGTGCATTAGTTATCTTTTCTATCACAATGAGCTTCAGCTCGCGTATAAGACTTCATTCATTTCTGGTTAACATAACACTTGAAGCGTGGATTGTTCTTCTGCCTCGTAATCCATCATCACAGAGGTGCTCTTAGAGGCAGGACTTCAACACACAACACTGTAAAAACCTACAGTTATGAACAATGTTCCCTTTAAGCTGCGCAGGTGCGCAATTGCGCACTGCTGGCACGGTCTCTGCACACAGAAAATCTGTGTTGCGCACACAAAAAAAAAAATCTAACCTGAAATTAAAATTAAAACTTTAACAATCCTGTTTTGCAGTGTGAGTCAGTGACTGGCTGCTCCCGTATGGGATTAGAACGATGCCACCTTATCCCACAGTCCAGCCAATTATGCGATTCACATTCGTATATACGCAGCTAATCAACGTCGTTGTCTGGCTATGACAGCGTCCTTATGTGCCGACAACTTCTCTGACATCATCACTAAAAACAGCCATAATGCTCGGGTCTTATTTTCTACAGTTGACAGGCTAACAAACCCTCCTGTGTCAGTGGCAGCTGAACTTCATTCGACCATGGCCTGCAATGACTTTGCCAAATTCTTCACAGAAAAATCCAAAAGATTAGACAAGCAATTGGTACATCAACAGCAGATCCAGGATATGTACTGTGTCCACCGAAAAACTGTTTAAACACCATGAAACAGTTTCACCCTATTAACAGCAAAGACCTGGAGGACATCTTAGGTCAACTGAACTCCTCCTCTGCTGTTTAGATGTCCTGCCAACAAGTTTTTTCAAAAAGGTCTCAAAGACTTTGGAGTCAGACCTGTTACAGATCGTCAACTTTTCTTTAATCAGGTGTGTTTCCAGAACCACTAAAAACTGCTGTAATAAACCTATACTGAAAAAGGACAATCTTGACAAGACACAAATGAACAACTACAGGCCGATCTCAAATCTCCCATTTTTAAGTAAGATCATTGAAAAAGCAGTTTCTCAACAGCTCAATTACTTCTTAAAACAGAATAACTGCTACGATGCCTTCCAGTCAGGTTTTAGACAGAACCACAGCACTGAAACCGCTCTGACCAAAGTGTTTAATGACATATGTCTGAATACAGACAGTGGAAAAATGTCAGTCTTAGTTTTACTGGATCTCAGTGCAGCATTTGATACAGTTGACCACAACATATTACTCAAACGACTGGAGAACTGGGCAGGTCTTTCAGGAACTGTACTAAACTGGTTCAAAACATACTGAGCAGACAAGTATCACATGTGGAGTTCCCCAAGGTTCCATCTTGGGACCCCTTCTGTTTAACATTTACATGCTCCCACTGGCACAGATTATAAAGAACAACATAAACTATCCA